GACTACGCCCGCGGACGAAAGGAGCGGCATATATCGAGAGCCAGGAGCCAGAAATTCATTCTCTGAAGATGCATAGTCGAGATAACTATTCGAAACGTCAGACCACAAATATACCTCTCCCGGTGAACGCCCTTTCTCCTTCTGATTAAGGTTTCTGTTCAGGCGGTCGTATAGACGAAAATTCCATAGGAATTCGTCTAAATCTGTGTAAATTCAATTGACTGTTTTCAATTATTTAAGTTGTTACAATTAAAATCGTCCTGTTGATTAGATGTTTGCCATAGAACACCAACGCGTTTTTATTACAAGGGTTATTTCTATAATGTGAGTAAGGCACCGGAACGTGAACTTCCTGTAATACGGATGATCTTTCGCCAAACTCCGGGGAAATAGGGAGTAATACTAAGGTAGGTTACGGCTACAATACGAACATAAGTATTTGTTGGGAATGCCCCCATTTCTACGATGAGTTATCGCGTAGAAAAGCGCCTGCATGAGCTATCATGCTGACGGCCATGAGAGCATGCACCCAGACCGTGGCTATCGATCTCTTAACAGATCTGATTGATCCACTTCTCCGACACTTTCTCATCAAGCGAATCAATAAATATACATAGCCATTTTGTGAGAATGACTTGCCATTTGTGAATACAGTTCTCCTCTTGATCGGTTGCCTTCTCTTGCTCTCCTGTGCTGGCTTTGGGAACAAAAGTCGAGGAATTCCACAAGTTGTGTTAATTACAAATCACAGGCGTGTGTCATAACAGTATCTGTCCTCGAATTTGGTGTAAGGTAATTCGTATTGCGAGTGTACCTATTCCGATATTGTACTGTAATTTGTTTTAATATCGATCTTATTAAATGCCAGTCGGGAGGCCTGAATACCAAATTGGGGTCGAATATTTATGGAACCTGGTTGCTAACCAACACTACTAAATCAGAGTCCCCACTTACGTAGCGTAAACACTAAAACCGCAATTTTCCTGGCGTTGCGTTTTTTTAGATACCGAAAGCAACCCTGGGGCCATTGGCAGACCACAGCGCACAATAATAAGAACTTCTACTATCTGCCGCAACCTGACCAGTTGAATTTGCTGCAGTCGAGATGGTAGAGGGTTTTACAAATCAGGCCACTGCTTAGCTGTAACTTCCCTAGATAACAAGCTCCTTAGGTTGGCATATTGATGGTGTTATTAACCCGCCAGTACACTGCGGATCGTGGTTAGTTTGGATGTCAAGAGCTGGAGCCTGCGGTCATTCCCTTCGTCTACGGTAAACGGCCTGTCAGAACTGTTACTGAAGATTTCTCAAAGACATGAAAAGCAAATATTTTCCATTATAACGAGCGTTTCGTCCGCGTATCGAAATCAAGAAGTGGGTTAGTGGTGACCGAAGCTAAAAACAATTTCTGGTCCGGTGACCACCCACTCTTCTTCACAATAAGAACTCGACAATCGCAAATTCTCGTGACGACGAATCAGGACTGTTAAATAAAGTGCTTTTAAAGTGAACAGTGGTAAATACAAAGGCACGCACTCGAAATTCTCGCATGGATCGCCTGCCTCCAGCAAGTTCTCATCTCCGCCCCCGGCTTCCGCTCCGTCCCCTCCCAGAAGCGACTCGCTGGTCCTCTTTAGCTCCTCGTAAAGGTCGGCAACCTTGGTCGAGCAAGCGCTTTTGCTGTAACACCCAACTCGGCGGAAAAGGCTAGCAGTACGGTCCTCGAGGCGTTCAAGAGCAGTGTGAACATCCAGCAGGTACTGACAGCTAGCCTGCAGCTCCAACATTTCCTGCAGTTTGTCCACCGCAGTCGCATGCAGTTCTGCTGGCGGC